ATTGTAGCGGCCAAAGTGTAGCGGTCATTAAAGAGAAAGTGTAGCGGTCATTAGCTAATGACCTCATTAGCACTAATTGCCCGCATATAACTACTATCGTCTGTAACAAAAAAAGTGTGACGTGATAGAAAAATTTAAAAATTATTTTTCTTTAATTAAAGGTCAGTTAACATAAAAATAATAATTCGATTAAAGGTATTTTAAACATCGTATTGTTTGTAGACTATAGTGTTATTAGTTATTACAAGCTCAAAATCAAGAGAAAAATTAAATTTTCTTTCCACTGAGTGATAATAAGGGACTTTTGAAATTACAGACTTACTGGTTTCAGGTGAAGCAAAAAATGTTTTTCTTTTGTAGTGTTAGCGTAAAATAAAAAAATCCGGGGACATACTGTATAATATTAGTTATTATTATTATGGCATTACATTTACCACTTTGGGTTTTTGCTTTGTTTAGAAGTAATAAAAATAAATATCAAAAACGGAAGAAACTAGCTATTTGTTAATAAAATTGAAAGTAAGTAAATCACAAAAATTTTGTTAAAGTAATGAAATTCATGGGCATGAATTTTTTCCTCTAAAATTTGCTTAGTGTCATTTTGCAAATTATTATAATCACCATAATAATCTATACTTATTAAAGAAATTTTCAGGTCCCTGAGTCCGGACCAACTTCCTAAATATGGGTCTTTCACCATATTATCTGCTCCCCAACTAGTTAGTCTCAAACACTATTGCAACAAAGCGCAGTGTGAGCAGAAAGTTAGACTGGTGAATAGTTTTTTCCCCGGGTGTACATACATCAGGGCTGTTTCTGGACAATTTTGATGAATGAAAAATGAACGTTTTTGGACGGCGGACCAAAAAATTTATTTTTAGTTCAAAACTTTCCATTCCAATCCAACGTTGGTTTCTTAATATTTTTCTACGTCCTTGAAATGATTGATGGATTTGATTGTATGTTGTAAGACCTGGTTAATTAGTACAGAATAACATATTTGTTAAAAATTGTCGCGACGTTTTCATACTTTATTGTGTCTTCTTCAGGCGAGAAATTGTTTGTCGTTTTGTATCTTAACGAATCAACGCTTTTACAGAATTAAAAGCTTAACATCAAAAGCCTTTGCATTTTTATAAAAGGCTATTCTACGAGTACAAAAACACTTTGACATTGAAGAACTAGATTTATTAATGCAACATTAAATTCATGATTTAAATTTCGCATTCCGGTCCTGATCCTCCTAGAACTTCCAGACACAACAACGAACAATCCCATGTTAACATAGTCATGTGCAATATTTAACCAAGTCTTGCGGGATTCATCTAACATGATTAAATTGAATACTAAAGTACAATTTGTACAAATTTGGTAATTAGTACACAAACGAAGATAAAGTACGTGTTATATTTTTAGAGAGGAAAAGTTTTACATTTTCATTAATTCTTGTTCGTAAAAAAAACAGCAGGGAGTACCCATACTAAATTAAAAAGGGATTAAAACAATCGTTACAGGCTTATTTTTTCTCATTTTGTTGCCTTGTTCAAACAATATGAAACAATTTATTTTTTTCGTGTAGTCTGTATATTGTTAGGAATTTTAGTACACAAAGAGTATGAAAAAAATCAAACGTACTAATTAAATTAAATAACCGCCATGCAATGACTGTCAGATGAATTAACTTTTTGTCGGTTGACGTAATAAAAGTAATTTTCTTCTAGTTGTGTGTCGTTACTATGAGACAGACGAAAAGTTTGTTAAACGAATTCTCTAATGCATGTTTTTTTTTAGACTCAATTTATATCAGCGGATAAAATAAAATTGCTGTGGGAGAAAAAATACGGGATTTTTTCCGGAACAGTTTTTTTTTTAAAGGTCAGAGAAAATGTAATCGGTTTGTAAGTATGGGAAACACCTGACTCGGTAGTAAATATTTGATTTGTTTCAGGAATTATTAAACGACAGCTTTTGTTAAAAAAGTCAATTTTTCAAGTTTAATACAAATTTCATTACCGTAGAGGAAATGAATGTTAACAATTTTTTAAGATCGTGAGATTTATTAAATAGTTAATTCGATGCTGAGGAATTATTAGAAGCGCTCTATTTCGCTGCATCCTTGATATTCATTTTCTTTGCGCTAGGAAAATTAAATTTTCACGAAGAGGAATGCACGACTGCAAACGTTAATCAGGACGATTAAGTTATCAAGGTGTTTTAATATTTTATGCATTTCATGTTTTTTTATTATTTTGAATGTCTACTTCTTAAAAAGACAGGTGAAATTACTCCATCAAATAAACAAATTAACTACTATTAAAACTAAAAATAATCACTAACACATATTAGACTAAATGTCATTTTCACTGAAACAGCTTCTAAAAAATCAACGGAAAAATGGATAGATTTCCTTAATTTTTTTTAACATTTTGACTTTAAATACACGTCAAACGTTTGCGGTCATATTAGAATTAGTAGATTTATATTATTTACCAAGGGACTAAAACTTTGGCATTTAAACTTTAGGGTAAATGAACTGTAGACTAGTGCAATTAGACTTTTTTTTCATCAAGATTAGAACCTCATTTTAATTTTCACAAAACAACAATTTCTGATTTTGTTTTTGTTGCAAAAATTATCTTGTTGTTTATTAACGAGCGAAAATGATGTACTAAAGCTCCGGCAACAAAAGCGGAGATTTTATCTGAAGTCGTTTGCTCAAATCTTGTTCCACTCTCTAAGTTTGTTTTAACAAGGTTAAAGTTCTTGGAGAAATAAGCATTTAACTTTGCAAAATTTTTTGTGCAAATAAGTCTGTATTTATAAATAATTTTTAAGATTAGTAATTTGAAGGTATAAATAACAGGACGAAATGTATTTGAAAATCCTCAACAGCTGTTAGGCATATCTGAAAATTTAGTGTCTGGGAAATTGCTCCGTTTTTGTCAACATTGTAATTAGTCTCAACTTTCTGAGAAAATTACATATTTATTTTGTAGCTTAGAAAACAAAATATTAAATATTTTTCAACTATTGTTGTTTATTAAAAAATGATGTAATAAAAAACCGGCGTTCGTTTATTTCTGTTTTATACATTTAAATGAAAATATTATTTAAGGCTCTACTGTACATACAAGGACCGCTTTATGTAGGATTATTAATTTTAATCTTCATTATAAAGATTTTGTTATATTTTGAAAACATTTTAGCACAGTTTTCACGTTTGTATTAAATTCTCAACATCACAATAATTGGTGAATGCGGCGGTTCTAGATATCAGAAAATTCCTTTTGTTCCCAATTTTTAATGAAAGAAAATTTTATTACGTTTCTACAGTTAAGAAATATCAAAGGGCAGCTTTACTTCAATGTTGAGATGTAGAAAAATTCTTTGTGTAGTAATTTTTCCTGCGTCTGAAGCTTGACACCTAATTTTATTCTGAGTTCTCCAAAAGTGCCTATTTGGAATTTAATTTATATGAAGAGCATTTCTTATAAGGCACCTTTGATTACAAGTCTTTAATTAATTCTTTACAAATTTACACTTACCCTTTTTGTGTGAATTAAACAAAACCAAATTAGCTATTCATGCTCAGAATATGAATTCGTTATCAGCATTGATCCAGATTTGAATTCGACGCTTACCTAAATTAAGGTAGGAATTCGTCTTTGTGTATAATATCAGTTATTGAGAACCCTACAATAGGAAGACATTGAAATAATTTCTCTAATTGTTGTTCATGTTTGATAAATTAAGAAAGTTTTGTGTAGTACAAAGCAACTGTTAGAAGGGTAAAATAATTAAGATGATAATAACAATTCCGCTGGTGAAGTTTTTGGATTAGGAGAAACTTTCAGTGTGAGTTAATCTCGTGACGGCAGGCCTGTGGTAATTACTTCTCTGATGAATAGGTATTTATGTGGCGTCAAGGACAACCAAAATTTACTGACGCAAGCATATGTCAAGTGCCATCCATGCTAACAATGTTCTGAATAATTAAATCTGAATCTTCCTACACAAACGCGAAACGCCATTAAACTTTGTAATTTGTTTCATGTTTTAAGCAGATTTTAAGCAAAAACAACCACTTGGGTCGGTATAAATTATTTATTGATTACAGGAAAATCACTGAATTTCATGTAGAGCGCTGTCCTAGTCATTAATGTCACCATGGTTCAAATCCCACGAGATGGATGGATTTAGCCGTAACAATCACAACAGCAGACTGTAGTTGCTATTCTACCTAGAAAATAAAACTAAATGTGGCACCCATAAAGTAAAAAAAAAAATGAAATGAAATAAAACTCTTGATGATTTTTCTTCAAATTTAAGAGTAGATGATGTCGTAAAATGAGCTCGGAAAGTGGTCGGCGATGAAAGCTTGGATTTTTTCCTTTCGGGTTACCGGCGTGTATCTCGTAAGAGGAAACGTGCGAATAACTGAATCAGTCAAGGCGCGAAGGACTGGAGATAAATCGGCATCCTGAAAAATTAAAAATCTTGTAAAATAAACACTTTCATACATTGAATAAGCTCTACATCAATCATAATACATCATGAGAGTTTCATCCGCAAATGCGACTCTTTATTTACGCCACCAGACGCCAGGACTCTGTTTAAAAGGGTAGTTTTTATTCCCGGGGGATGGCAATGATGGTTAAATTTTTACATAAATCCATTAGAGTCGAGAAGTCTGGTGAAGTTCATGACTCCCAGAGGTTTGCAAATTGTCGACGTTGTTTTGCATGCGAACAGGTGCACGGATACTTATTATTCAAGAGATGGCTGACAGCTCGGGAGTAATGGTTTCATGCAGGAATTCTTTGTTTTCTCTAGTTTCATCGAGAAATTGTCAATATTGCAGCTTCATTAATTGTAATGTTTCCTGCGGTTAAATTTACTACCATCAAAATGTATATTTAGTTTAATGGATGTCTTAGAACCTCCATAAAACACTTGTTGGCAACTATGAGTATATGTTTCACATTTACTCGTGTTTGTCACTAAAATGTGTCACTTTGTTAGCTGCTAATCGTAAATATGGTAGTATTCTTATGTATAACACAATTTACAATTTTTGTAGTACAAATTTCTGACTTCTCGTTAACGATAACAGCAGATATGATCACCGTAGAATTACATATTGACGAAAAATTTATAACATAAATACAGAAGATATAAAGTGTTGAAAAATGTATTTTCGATCTTCCAGCTAGTAAACGTGTAGTTGGTTTGGTTCGTGTTCGTAGTTTTTGATATCAAAATCCAATTCACATGAAAATCCAATATCTACGAACTGATGAAATTGGACTTTTTATATACAGTATGTCTCGGATAGGTGAAACGACTCTTGTAAAGGAAAAAAAAAAGATTTCAATTTTAATTTTTTGGGGTTTAGCCCTGCTTGGGTTAAAGACTAATTTCTAACATAATTATGTATACTTTGGAAATTTTCAAAAAAGCTATTTTTTTGTAGAGTAAAGTGTTTTCTATGTGGCAAATACGACAAAAAATTATTAAGAAGAGTTGTATACGTTAAAAATTTATTTAGAAAAATTGTTTAGAATTACCATCTAGACCCATATATCAAATTTTAAAATCATCGCCCATAGCCGCAAGTTGCAACTTTGATTTTTCATTTTTTTATGTAACAAGAATAATTTTATGTATTACCTATTTGGTACATAAGAGGTAGAAAAATAAGTTTTTTGAAAGTTTCCAAGGCATACTTGTACTTGATTTATCAAAACTAAAATTATGTTATTCTTTAACCAAGCAGAGCTGAACCACAAAAAATTAAAATTCTAATATTTTTTTTTATTTTTTACAAAAGTCATTTTACTTATCCGTGGACACACTACATAATATGTTGGTATTTTATTTTTAATTTTATTTTTACTTTTCTTAAAAGTCACAGTAAAAGATTTAACAATTCTTTCAAATTGATATTAGCAGTTTGGGGCAGTGTATATTTTTTTTTTAGAAATGTCTAAAAACTTTAATAAAACCAATATTTTGGTCAGTTTAAAATTCAATTAATTATCGACTCGACTAGTAATGTCATCACAAGGTCCCAAATTTTAACTAGTTTTTTCTACGACTATTGTAGAATCTTCTTGGTTGATTTTTATTTACAGAACACTTATATTCTGTAACACTTTGCAAGAATAATATTCTCACACTGTAGGAATGGTCAAACATGATGACAGTGACTAAGATTTCTAAATTTCAGTCTGTGATTTTAGTCGTAGAAAAAGTATAGTCTGGACCTTGTTTAGAATGATATATCGCACTCATCGAACCGTCTCACTTGCCTCAGACTCGTGCGACAAACTTGTTACAGAATATACTATTCTGCGATGCGTATAATATATTTAGAACAAATATTCTAATACTAAGTATTTAAATCATTTGGCAAAATATTTTATAATGAATGACAGACTACAACGAGTATTAAAATTCTCAACAAGAGTCGCTACAAGTAGTATTTTATGGTTTTCATAAGAGTAGAACATTTTTTAATAGGAGAATTTAATTACATAGTTTTATTCTTGGAAGTTTTAAGAGATTTTTCTTTTTAGGTTTATACTAATATTTTATTTTAAATAATTTAACCAATTTTTTACTTCTATATGCGTGGAATTGTTAATCAAAATTGTGCTGTGTTTTGTAATTTTCGTCATCCCTTAGTTATTAGTTTTTACATACCTATATGCTAGCGTTTTAATTCATTTAGAACGTGAAATGGAATTAATGCAAACTCTGTGTTTAAAATTGCATTATTGTAAAATAATACGCTTTATTTTGTCGTTTAACGAAAATTCTACGTGTGGTGGTATTGCATTAAATACGATAAATTTTACTTTAGATATGCTACATGAGACATACATTATGAAATTCAAAGTGTTGTTTCTATAGGGAAGCATAAATAAACCTATTATTTATACAGAAACTTTTCGTAAAATAGATTTTAAAATAATTTAATACCTACAGTATTTTTTTTATAAATTAAATAATAAACTGCTACCTAAATAAAAATAAAAAGCCGACTAGAAAAAAATCATATTATTTATGTTGACAACAAGAAATAAATTATGAGTTATAATAAATACAATGTGGATTGGGCTAATAAACCGCGACATTAGAATAATTTTTAAAATAAACATTTATTTTTGCATTTATCGATAAGAAATAAGATACACCGAGAAGCTCGTGTGTACATAAATTCTAAAAGCGTGTATCAAATTGTGTCGATCAATAAAAATGAGAAAATTCAACTATAGCAAACAGTTCTTGTTTTTTTTCCTAAAAGTGTGAGTTGTAGCTTGGAGCTGAAATTTTTCAATAGTTTGTTTTATTAAACAACAATATTTTTATATCAACCAAGAGAATCATTCCAGTCCAGTTTCTTAAAAGTGTTTTTCCAGCATATTTTAAATGTTTTATTCTGGTGGTTCAGTTAGATGCATTAATAATAATTATTAGAGCTTTCACTGGCTTTGTCGGTAATTAAAAGTAATGACTGCACACTGGTTAGCAATAGCGATACTAATTGTAATAAATAGTTTTTGGCAATAATTAGATCTTTATTTTCAATACTTCAAATATCGAGGTAATTCTATCACGTAATGCATCCCACTCTCATGTTAAAATTTTTGACACTTTAGTCCGATAGAACTCAGGGATTTAATTCTCTCTTGTCGCAACTAATTGGCCATAGCTAACCTGACATTTGGTGTATTTCGTTTCCAAACTCCTGACCGCAGTTTCGAAGTAATCCTTCCCGTATTCGATCCTTTGCTCTTGGCACAGTTGCCCCCACATATCCCTCGCTTGTTCCAAAATAACTTGATCTGATAACCAAGAGTTGCCTGCAGTGAATTCTCCAGGTGCTACGACGACCACATCGACGCCACGGCTTCTCAGTTCCTTCCGCAAACATTCCGCTTGGGCCTCGACAGCGGCTAATAGTCCGCAGTGGATTCCTCGGACAGGAGATGCTACTTTACAGAGGCCGGATGTTATCATTACTATGCGTCCTCGAGCACGACGGACGAGAGGCACCATTATTTGGGTCACTCGTGTGGGACCCAAGAGGTTAATTTCGGCGGCTTTACGGATGACCTAACAAAAAATGTGGTCAGTAAATTATGAAAACTTTGTTGCAGTTTATATTGATGAAGTCAGTCTAGAGTGGTTTATGGAGGTGTTTGTTCAAAACACAGTTATAAATAGAGCTTCTAAGCGTATGTTTAGCGTCAATTGATTTCGATGGAAATGTAGTGGAAATATTTAATTGATAATTAGGAATCGCAATAATTACCTACAATTGACGTTGAAATTAAAAAAATACGAGTGAATGAAACAATAAAATAAAACTTGTAAAAGCAAAAAACTCATTTTTTATTTTAACGTAAAAAGTATTAATAGTTATTTATTCGACGAGATTGAAATCGGACTCTTTATTTGACAGAGTGGATTTTTAAACCACGAGGTAGAATAAAGCGTCCGATTTACACTCAAACGAGTGGAATACAACATTTTATTCTTCGAATTAGAGTCAACAAGGCTTAAACTTGCTTTAAATCTGTTAAAAATAATTTGACGTTTTGTATTGAGAAATGCCAAACAGTTGTCAAAACTTCCTTACACGGGAGAAAAACCGTAAATTTTGACAGTGTCGAAGAATAAATATTATTAATTATTACTATTATTTGTAAAGGGTGTTTATTTAAATTTGGCGTCGTAGTTGGCGGTGATATGAGTGTGTTGTGAACATGAACGCATCGGGGCGGATGCACTCATTTAATTTTTTTAATGGATGCGGGGTATACCCATTGAAAAATGAAAATAATGTAGGTACTCTTGCTTAAGGTAAAAAATAATAGTAATAACTTTTAATAATATTTGGAATTTCGTATTTATTCTAATCTTTTTTTAGTAACGTTGCATTCTTTAAAACACTTTTTATGTCAAATTTTTAATTTTTCAATTTTCTCCTTCGAGAAAATAGATCAAATTCATGGTTTGTTATTCTATTTTGTTTTTCCATTTTTCAAATTAATTCAAAATTAAGCTCTTTTTTGAAAAACTCCTTGAAAAAAAATTCTTATTATCTCAAAAGCTTCAAAACGACAAAATATTTTACATAAATAAAAAAAATGGTCGTATTTACTCGTAGATTTAAAAATTCACTTTAAAGCTTCAAGTTTCTTGTTTTGAAATTTTTTGGCAAAAAATTTTCTGAGCTACGGTTATTACGTAATCCTAAGAAATAGCGAGAAAAAGAATGTATTTTTTTATTCTCTTTTTCGGTTCACGGACTTTGGGAAATTGTTATTAATTAAATCAATGCATGAGTCGGATAGCTTGTTCATTTGCTTTAATTTATGTACTTAATTATTTTTTTCTATTTCGGTGTTAGAATAAGTCTATTCCAGCACCCAAATGACGTCATTTGCGTGCTGGAATAAGTCGTTCGCGGTAATTTAATTTTAGTGACGGACTTTCTTCACAATTCATTTTCAAATGTGAAAATAAGAATTATTTTTATTTTTTACAGCCGCCTGAAATTATTCCACACATAAATGTCGCCAACCGTCGCAAAATTCCCTAGAAAAAAAAATAATTTTCGTTTTTTAATTTATAAAATGACATAAAGCGGTGAAATAGAAAAATAGTATAAAGCACTTGTTGCAGAAGGTTCTTCAAGTACTCATTTGTTCCTCAACTCGCCGCTTCGCGGCTCGTTTCGGAATTTCAAATTTGTGCTTGAATAGATACCTTCTGCAACTTGTACTTTAATATACTATTTTATGTTCTCTATGTCGACTTGTCGCTGAGATATTTGACTTTTAATGAAAAAGGATCTTTTTGTCTTTGATTATCGATATCTCAGTAACTAATTACCGCACAGACAATGTAAGGACAGTTTCAAAAACTGGAATAAATTTTCTACAAGCTGTTTTTACGATTTTTTGATTTTTTTTACTTGCAACATTGACTTAAAGAAAAGAACAAAAAGTAACTTTTTCTGTTGTTGTAGTAAATCTACCGCGTATTCACGAATATTGATGGGGATATTAAATATGTCATTAGGTTTTTTATAGCCCAACTGTTTTCTCGGACCGATTGATCAAAGTTTTACAAAAGAATTTTGTATGTTAAATTAAAAAAAAAATATTCAAATAAATTAAAAAAAAAATTGATATATGTATTTGAAAATGTAAAAAATCGAAAACCAATACTGACAAATTTTTGAGACCATTGATTTAACTCTTGCATATCTTAATTTAACTCATCTCAAATTAATTGCCTTAATAAAAAGTAGATACCCTCCAAGCTGTATTCAACACTAGATTTACGAACATTCATACAAATTTTTAAAAAAAGTAATTTTGTGTGTATTATTTTTCAAAACTCAACAACTTGAAGCATTTTTCAACTTTGAACATGTACTACGTTCTTCGCACTTTTTAGTACATATGTTATTTATTGATTTTTTTCTTTTGTAGGTACTTAATATACAAAAAAATATATTGTTTTTAAATTTTCTCAATATTAAATACAATAAATTCAGCAAACATAGGGAAGAAGAAATCGTGTTTTTTGCGTAATTGTTCTCAAGTCAAGTAATTAATTTTTTGTTTATGCATCTATTGAAAATATGAAATGTCGGCACCCATGGTTGTGAACGGACCACAATTTTTAATTCGCCCAACGAGGTGTTAAATGTCAATTAATAACTTTCAATACAATGGTTTATTTACACTCTAACCTTTATGGAAAGCTTTAATGCCAACAAAAAATAGACATCCGTTACAGGGTGTTTTTTAAATATTGCGAAAAATTGCAACCGCATATTCTACATATTAAAAAAATAACGCTAATTTGTTAAATAAGCGATAGTTCTATAAAGCTTCATTACGGGTGATAAAGTGAGTGAGTATTTTTCAAACCAATAAAAGCGCTTATATTTTTCGACACTGGATGTTTTTATTTTTTATTAGTATTATTTTTTGATGTAGAATATGTAAGTAGTTGTAATTTTTCACAATGTGTACTAAGAAAAACACTGTATTTGTCTACAAAACCTTTTAAATATCTGAGGAATTTCTCCTTTCTTTTATTTATAAAAGTAATTTCACGTTTGCATAACTAGATGTTTCAATTACTGCCGCCTGGGAGAACATTGCCATTTAAAGTTTTTTCTAATTATAGAAAGAACTTTAAATGTCGACACTATAGAAAGTTTTTACTGAGCTGTTCAAACGTAAAGAAATAAAAATAGTTTTTGGTTCTTAACCTAAGTTAACCTATTCAAAAACTAGTTGTACAGTATATTAAGTTTTTTTTTAATTTAATGTATTGAAAAATACTAATAAAATAAAAAGCTGTCAGTGAAAAGACTCGATACGCGTCAAGAGGATTCTGAACTGAAAATAAGGGAAGTATGGCTTAGCTTTCAACAACATAATGTTGCCGAATGATATTTATAAAGGTATTCGATTCAATGAAAAATTTGGGAAAGGTTTCGTCTCAAAGCTTACGGTTTTTCCTTTTTTTAAATTATTTCGTATGAATACCACAAAGGTATCAGGATAATAAGAACTCGACAGGTGAGTTTATTTCTGCTACGCAAATGAAAACAAAAAGTACGATCTTTCAAGATTTTTTATGTCTGCTCAGTATTGAAATGAGTTCCGCACCGGTAAGTATTTATAAAATAAACGAAAATATATATTTTATTACGATTGCTTTTGCTCAAAGGACATTTAGCGGCGGTGGTTTGTCATGTAATTTGTCGCTGCTTTAATTACACATACATATATCAAAACCAGACTCGTCTTGTCAGATTAACCATTTATACCTGTTATTATCTGGAGAATATAACCCACACGTTGTGAAAACATCGGATTTGTGTAATCTCGCTTCAATGCGGGAAGTTTTGAGAACGACGGAAAATTTACGACATTTCGTGCAACCAAGTCTGATAAACAGTAGGTACAGAAAATATTGAATGAAAATACTTTGAGGGAAGGTTCTCGAAAACTTTTTGCATTTGAACTTCGGTTCGTATTTTCAGTTGCAGGAATCATTTGTAATCGTTAAATTTTCCAAGCAAGTGAATCGAACTAATTATAATGGAGCAAAGTTAGTTAACCTTTTTGTTTTTGGAACTTTAAATTTGTCGAAAATTTGTTTATTAAATTGAAAATTTTCTTTCTCTGGCTAATCAAAAGCTCCTCGAAATCACAATATAAACATGTTTTCGTGCAATGATTTCTAAATTCATTTTTATCTTCCTCCGCATTTCTACTGCCAAGAAATCATTACATAAAGGTCAAAATTATGTTTCAGATGTGTTAGATTATGGGTGTGGGTAAAAAATGTTAATCTCTAGTCAATTTGCGTTTGGCACAAATATTTATTCATATTTTTTACTTTTTCAGCGTTCTTGTCTTTAATTAAAGGCAACTTTTTAATGTCTAAAGCATGATTTATAATTTAAGCAGTCTATCTTAGCGTTAAAGTAAACATGTTAAGATGAAAATACTTCATAGTGTTCTGTTCTATTTGCAAAACTGAATAAACGGGGTAGATCATGAAATTTAGTAGATATGGATTAAAATAAAGCACATTGTTACATGAAAACATATTTACAATGTACACGCACCCTCGTTATTTAACAAACACATTTGGGGCTTTGATGTGTTTAAAAATATGAGGCAGAAATAACAGTCGTTTCATATTGACCATTTCACTAATTTGTCGCTTAATTACAGTTAATTAAAACCAAAGTCAATAATGTACCACATATGATGTAGACTTATTTCAGGAAATCAGGCGTATTTATCAACACACGGCTTGTATAACACAACACTACATATAATCAACATAAAACAAACTGTAAATATAGAACATGTTCAAAGTCATGAGACTAGTTATTTGTGAAAGAAAAGAAAGTTATTTCTTTCGTCCTTTATTTCATGAATCGAAATATTAATTTAGATTATTTTATTTTATTTTTAGACTAGAAAAAATCTGGCAATATTTTTGAAATTATCGGATTTCTTTAAGTTTAAGCATTAAAAATAAAAACAAAAGTTCTCAAAATTGTAAAAACTCTGTTCAATCAAAAATTGTTTTTATCGATATCATGTTTTCTTTAAAAATGAATTTGTAAATGTTCGATTTGAAATCCATTGTTGCCATGCAGTTTCGGAGTGTCGATGACACCAAAAAAATATTTATTTCTTCCAGGTTGTGGATTCTAACCGTTTTATTAAATTGAAATTTTGTTTTTCTTTTCGTAAAGTATTTAGTAATAATGTCGGATATTTGTACCTACTGTAACTGTATAATACCTGTGGGGGTATCCATTCGATTTCTCCAAGGGCCACCCATGAAGCTGCATGAATTACAGCCCAAAGCCCCGGTGCCCCATCCGGCAAATGTTCAACGGCATATAACGAAGCTGCTAGAATTTGTGTTTCCGAAGAGACATCTAGTTGTAAAATATGCAATCTGCCTGAACATTCCTCTTTCAGTTCTTCAGCGATAGAATTGCCTGAAGCATTCTGAAATCCTGCGAAAACGGTAAATCCTTGTTCGTCCAAATGTCGGGCGAGGGCGCTACCGATGCGGGAATCACAACCGGTTATCAGGACTGCTTTTCCTGCTGCAGTCACCTGAAAAATCAGGGACAAGTTTTGAATTTTTTCAGATATATTCTATATTTACGACTAGTTTAGGAATAAACAATACACGAGTAAGTAAAATGCAAAATGGTGACGCTACGTAAGAACATGAATTCTGCTTCATTTTCTTTTACGTAAACGTGAATTTCAAATGTAAAGTGGCTATGCGTTAAACATAAAAATGTTTAAAATTAAAAAGCTAAAATTATAGTACAATTTTATTAGTAATAATTATAGACCGAATACACAGTCCTGGGTCACCCTGTATTTATTAAAAAAGTTGAATTCATTTGAATTCGTTTAAATTTTGTGTGTTTCATTTGATATTGTATCGCTTCAAACATTTTCATTTTTTTGCCGTGGGCGAACTTTGAAATTAAAATAAGGTGAAATAATGTGCCCATATTTTTTCGTTTATACAAACACCCACATAGAATGTTTAGGGTGAGCTAAACTAACACACATGCTGCAAACGGATTTTTTATTTTAGAATTTTGTATGGACATTTATCCGGTTTTATTTTCTTAACATTTGCGTTTAGATTCCAGAAAATATCAACTTCAAGAATTTTTATTAATTAAATGTTTTATTGTTTGTTGTATAATCTTAAAAATTATTAATTATTACTTTTTAGGAATTTTATTACCGTTTTTATTATTTATGTTACTCTGCAGACATGCAGATGTATTTAAAGTAAAAGATTCAATTTTGTATTTATTTAATCTTGATATACAAAATGTCCGGAAAAAACGTTGAATGATATTTAAGAAGATACTCTAGATGAAAATAAGAAAAAAGTTTTTGTGGATCTATGTTCGAAAATTCTTTCTGAGGGAGTTAGAGGTTCCTGAAGACGGCGGACAAAAGGCGTTTTTTTTCGATTATTTATTTCCGCAACCCGTAGATACAAATTTACAAAAGTTTGCATCTGGGGTAATTTTTTGGGGCTGCATCTTATTGGCGATATTAAAAATTGTGTACCTTAATTAGGGGGACGAAGCCACTGGCGTAAAATTTTGCTTTGGAAGAAGTTGTTTGAATTGATAATTTTCTTCAAAGAAATATTTTGTATTATTTTTATATGGCGCACCGTTTTCGAGGAAAACGATTTTTTTCTTAACAGTGCATTGATCTTATATAATTCTTAAAAGCAACCCACGCAGTTAGTTTTTTTATATAACGTATGGTCCTAAAGTTTTGGGAATTTTTTTAGATGGTTTTTATTTATCTATACCAAATGGTGTATAAACAGATTTTTGCTGTTATGGCAGTTTAGTTGTTTCATTCGGGTTTTCGAAAATGTCTTATAAGCTATATATTCGTTAAAGCATTTACAATCTAGTTGCGCGAATACCTACCTAAACGTGAAATTGCTGCAATTTATAGAGAACAAAATATTTCTGTAACTACAATTTATCGGAACATAAAAGAATGTGAAGAGGGTTTATCTCGTGTGTCTAAAAGTCCTTGACCCAGAATTTTGAGGAAACAAAGAATGATTGAAAAAAGTTGAAATTTCACAACAAAAGTTAGGTCGAAGATTCGCTGTTTCAAAGAGCATTTATATTCAAATATATCTTTCCAAACTCAATGAAGTTTTAAATATACATTATGTCAATGATGATGTAATGTTTTCGTCTGATTTGCCTTCATTCCACAATGGTAGGGAAGCTACAAAATGGCTTAACCAAAACAGTATAAATTTTGTACCCAAAATAGACAATCCTCCCAATGTACATGTACCTCAGGCTCGATCAATTGAAGAGTTTTGGACAATATTGCACAGAAAAGTGTACGACAAGAGATAAGAAGTCAGAAATGAGAAAAAATTGCGACGTCGAACTTTTTTAAAGGTTAGAGAAATCGATCCTGCTCTTTCCTAGAGGAGAATGGGGCAAATTAGAAGGAAATTGAGAGTCATTGAAGATAATGGCCCACTATCTGTAATTTGATTATGGATTATTTATTCTTGTTTATATTATCAATTGTTATTACATTTAGTTTAAAAAATAAACAAGTTTTAAAAAGTTATAAACATCTAAAAAAAAATCCCAAAACTTTCGGATCATACGTTATCGTCGAGTTATCGCTTTAATTCCCTTTGAGGAGGCATTTCCGAAGATAAGTCTATAGGAACTTTTTGACGTAGGGAACCACCTTTAGAAATCTGCCAACGTTTTTTTCCAGACAGCCTGTATTCTATAGAATTAAATTTTTTATAATTACTAAGACCACAAATAGACATAACCATTTTGTTATAATTTTTGTAAGTAAGTACAATAGTATACAATATTGTTGACTGGATGAGCAGGATTTTGTTGTAATGCTTTTTCTGTTTGGGGCTCAAGGGCTAGTTTTGTGGGTTACACTCGTAAGTACTAAGTGATATAGAAAAAAGACATAAATAGCAAGAATTTTTTTACACATTTGTTGTAGCTGAGACAAGAAACAATTAAATTTTTAACCAAATCAATTCATTGGTTTTTGTGTTATAACATTTTACTTCTTAAAACACGATAAGCAATGGAAGACTGTTTCAACTGCAGTAAACACACGATTATTATTATTATACAGTACATTTTTAAGTGTTTTTTATCTGCTTCTTTAAATTGACTTTAGCGGCATTTGAGAACAGGTAATATAAGATGAGGTGCCTTAGAAGAAGTTATTCGGATTAGAAGAAGTTTATTCGGATTATGCTCAAATGTGTTAATAAGTGCGTTAGTGCGTAACCATGAAGGCTCAACCAATTTTTAATTTTTGTCCAGTTCTAATTGAACGGATCTTTTCAAATTTTGATCGTTTATTTATCTTACCCGTAAAAGAAAGTATACAAAAAAATATTATGATATATTCAAATACTGGGTGTTCTTTTTTCTATAGCACTTACCTATTAAAATTACTTTACACAGCACCGACTTGTAACTTCTAAGCTCTGTTTTCGTGGGAATGTTGAAGTAAAAATAACTTTCTATTATAAACATCGAGAACAATTTATTTTTATGCTTAAAAATTTTCAATAAGTATATTTCAATGTTTTATAGTGAGCAAGATAAAGCCAATTTAATCATAATTTTGTTTAAATTATTTATTTTCTTCTCACATCTCAAAAGTGAGACAAAAAGTAAATATTCCGTAGCAATCACGCACTTCCTACTTTACTGTTTTCGTAAAATACACTTTAACAAAAAAATTAAACCATTACCTATAAAGATTTTTCTGGTTCATTAGAATAGTTTTATAATTTGTTTTAATTACATGCTTTACACTAAAATTTTAACATAGGTATATTTAGATTCTAATTTTCGTATTGAAGTGCCGCATTATTGCTTGAAGAAAAAAATGTTAAAACAGTGTTGTGTTTTTGAACAATGGGCGGTTTTACAAGTGAAATTTTATTTCACATTGAATAATTGATTCTTTTTCTACAGTGCGAACAAAAAATCTGTCTATCAAGCAAGCTCAGAAATTTAAAACGTGTGTCTGTAGAATTTTAAAAGTCGCGATGACAAATACGAAATGTCAAAATAATTTTTATGTAAATTTATTATGACAGGAAACCGGTGAACGATTTGTATGAATAAACGCCAACAACATCCCATTATTAAGACGTTTCATAGACTAGTTCAATTTGCTTAGATCAATACTTTAATTTTTATAAAATAATTTTTTGACATCAAGCTGACATACGAACTACTATACGACATACGTGCCCAATTAGTACGCCTAATTGATAGAAAGACTTTTTTATCGCGCTGTATAAATGATAATTGACAACGCACATTTTTGTTACGAATTTTAGGCTAATAAAGTAAAGGAAAATATAAATTGTTTAGAAGTTCAAATACAGTCTGAACAAATACTGCATATACACAGCTATTATAATGCAATTGAAAGAATGTTCGCAAGATATTTTAATTTGCGATTAGTTGAATTGCAAAAGATGATTACAAATTGCTTTTTTTTGTGATTTTCCTGTAAAAATGTATTTAACCGTCGGTCTTAATAGGTATGTATTTATAATAACTGATATAATGAATGAAGAGTAGTAATAGTGTTGAGATGAAAAAGTGCACACATTTTCTGAATGACATAGACATAAATAACAATTTTGTGACTCCAGCCGATGTTATAAATAGTGTTAAATATGCATATGTCATTTTTGAAGGATTTATTTAGCTTGACAAAATTATAGGTAAAAATTAAATCACTGAGTGCTTTTTCTTGATTCAAATTCTTTTCTAGTAGTGCTGTCGAGAGGAACTGTTGTTTTACTAAAATTAATGGACATCAAACGGAAGTCAATATTAGGAAAGCAAAAACTGGCTAATTTTATGTTTGATGTTAGGAAAGCGCTATAAATAAACAAAAATTGATTTTAATTTAAGCCAACGTCAATATTTTATATTGCGTTTCTCTATGTTTTTCGTTTTTACCTTAAGGTTGTGATAGAAGAGTACTGCAGCAATGGTAGTGATGGTGAAAAAAATAAATAGGGTGAGTGTTGAGACTTGCGACAAGTGCAGGGCATTGAGTACAGTGCTGACGATGATGGCGGCGGCATGACAAAAAACAACTGGAAGTAAACATCTGTCCAAGACGTCCCAGGGTACCTCTTGTTGGTTTACAGTCACAGGTTTAAGGGTGATTGAAGACTGTCTCCTTTGTAATATGTCAGATTTGACAAACCCTACGTTAGGTAGGGCTTTAAGAGACGGTCTTCTTTTGAAGGGGCCGCTCATGATTCGGGAAAGTTTCAACACTGACTGAAAGGAGTCCCGGGAAAATGTGCCAAAATTCTATTTCGTGACTGGTCGCTTCTATTTTAATCCGCGCTACCGTCAATGCAGCAACTTTATTAAAATATGTCTCTTGTTTTTGCTCTCTGAGGTTAGAGCGAATTTCATCGCTCAAAACCGAAAGTGCAAAGCTGGGGTGTTAGCAAGTTTATTGTTATATGGCAAGCTAAATTTAGTTGGTCTAGGTTCAGACTGGACTTACGCAATGACCATAAGTTACAGCATCAAATATTGCTGTAATTGATTGGAACAAAAGCTGAAGGAGGAAATCTTCACTAATTGGTCCATTAGATGCTATAAATCTTAGGATTGCTGCAAGAAGTGCTTTGTAAAGTTATATACCGGAATTCATAGAACAGTAACACGAGAGAAACAACTGTAAGAAAATTTCTGTGATTTCACTTCTTGGGGAATAATTTTTGTAACATGCTTTTGTGGTTAATGTTTGTAAAAAGACAAGAGAAATCTGCAAAAACTTGATGCCGCTTAAGAAAGTTTAAAAGTTTTGTGTTTACGTTTGCGACAAGTTCCATTTGCTTCAAGACAGTGGCGTAACTAGAAATTTTGGTTCCCCCCGCAAAAGACGTGTGTTGGGCCCCTCTCTTCTCCGGTTCCCTATTAATAAAGTATAAGAAGAAACTAAAAAATGCAATAGATTATATAAATATATATTTTTTATTTTGCTAACGAACAATAATTCTCAAATAAACAATAGTAAAACAATTTAACAAAACAAATAACAATAAACACTTTTTAAAAGCAATAATAGCAGAATAACACAATTTCAGCTTACGTTTACTTAGGTAATTTGTTTTTTCCTTGCTTTTAAATTTGCAAAATTTTGGATAACATTGTCCATGTTTAGTTTTTTAGCAACATCGTATTCTATTAACAAAATGGACAAATTTGTAAGCCTTTCCTGATTCATAGAGTTCCGTAAATAGTTTTTTATTAATTTTAATTTGGAAAAGGATCTTTCCACTCATGCGACGGTGACAGGCAGAGTTAAATAGAGTAAAAGAGCAGTTATGACATTAGGAAAACTAGATGACAACTCATTTTCTAGTATTAAAAATTCTGCAAATTCTTAAACCGATTTTGTTGTCTTTAATTTCTCTTTTATGTACGAATTTTTAACAAGTGATTCCAATTCACAGGAAAAGGCGTTTTTGACTATGTCGTTTTTATAAAAATTTCCAAAATTTGTTGTGTTGACAACAACTTCTTCATCATTAAGTTCCGCCAAACGTTTAGGGTTTAAAAAGTAAACAGTTCAGAAATTTGAAAGAGAGAATTGAACCTTATTTCTAACTGGGTTTGTAGAATATCCATTACTCTATAAAATACGTTAATCTTAAAATATTCTTTAGGATCATTAAAACCATCGCCGTCTCCATAGAAATAATCCTTTTCTCGCCTGGGCATTTTTTGAGTTCAACTGATTCCCGTTGGCGCTTTAATTTGGGGAAATTTTTTGACATATCCAGTTTTTTAGGTTAAAGGGTTCAACCTCATAATAACAATTCTCCCTGGCGTATCTTGTTTTGTTGTATCCTTCCTTCCCAGCTTTTATTAATTGCGTTATTTTTTGTTAATAATTAAAAATCATTCAGTTTTTCCTTAGTAACCCCCGTAACTAAGAAAAAATCGGAATCACTGCTCCAATGCAATTTTTACGAAATGCCCAGGCGGGATATTGATACATTTCATTAAGGAGGCGGTGATTAAAACGATGGTCCTCGACAAGTTCATCAAAAAAAAATTTTACCCTGACTTTTCTTTTATTTTTGAAATCCGTAGTTATTTTTAATCTGGTAGCTGCCGTTGTTGCATCATATATAAAATTGTCAAAATTATTTCTTAATTCTTTTACAGACTGCAAGGGAGCTTTAATTAAACTGGTAGCTTGTGATAAATGTAGATCAATTTTCTGAATCAATTTCTGCGAATATTTTATGTAAAAATGTACACATAAAAACAAATTCAAAATTCTCCAATTTTAACAATAAAGATTTAGCTTCGTCGGTTTCCTGTTTTTTTTTCGGAAGTTAAAATAATTCTGTTTAACGCTGTAATTATGTCATATAAACGTAGCTTTACCGCTGTGATTGTCTGAAGCCGAGAAGACCATCGGGTAGGATTTAATTTCTTAATTGTAATGGTAGATTCATCTGTTATTTTACTCAAAAGGTCCCAACGTTTAATACTTAAACCAAAAAATGTATAAATTTCCTGAAGAGTACAAAAAAAATGATTGGATTTCAGGAACACCTTTTACAGCGTCGTTAATAACTAAATTTAAATTATGTGCAGCACAATGAATGTAAATCGCAGTTTCTTCTTGTTCACGAATTTTTTTCTGCACCCCCCATAAACTCCGCTCATATCGTTTGCACCGTCGTATCCTTGCCCTCTACATTTTTAATGTCAATATTAAGACTTTCTAAAAAATGTATAATGATATTTACAAGACCGTCAGCGGTTTGCAAATCTGCTATTACAAAGCCTAAAAACGATTCTTCAATATGTAAATTATTGTTATTGCTACCGCTATCTACATATCGGATGATTATACTTATTTGATCTGTCTTTGCAATGTCCTGTGTAGTGTCAACAATTAATGAATAAAAGGAAGCATTATTAATTTCATCAACATATGATTCAATACATGATTACCCAAACAAGTAATGATTTCGTTTTGAATATTTGGACTTAGGTACTTTATTGAACCTTTCGGTAACGTAAGAACCTCCTTCAGTACTGAATCATATTGTGACATTAATTGAACAATTGATAAAAAATTGCCGTTGTAATCACCCCCGCTTATATCTTCTCGGTGACCCCTAAAAGCGAGCGAACATTTGGCTAATGTTAAAGTGATGCTGAACAATCTTTCTAAAACTTTCTTCCAAAAAGAGGACTCTTCTTCAATTTGTTTCTTCGTCAATACGTCAATATTTTCTGTCTTCTTCCATTGACTGTAAATGTATACACAACTAATATGGTAGTTGTTGTTGGTAGAATGTATACTAATTTTTTTTGATAATCCTTGCCAATCGCTAATTCCTTCCTTGCTCCAAGATGATTTTTTTTTGCAAACAACCAACAAGGCTCACAATAAACACAATTTTTTTTACTGAATAACATAGCCAAAGTCTTTCTATTTCTGTCTCTTGAAAAATGTCTCTTGTTTTCGTCAGTAGGAAATGGACCCTTTGGTCTGCAAGGCCCAAAATTTGTTATCGCTTTTTTTATACTATCTGTTAATTTGATGTTAAAAAAATTTGCAAAATCAGTTGGATATGCTTGTTTAAATATTTCCTCAACCTCAATGGCCTCTTCCTGATTTTGATGATGGTCAACGGAAGCAGACGATGTGGAAGGAACAGATAACTGATCAGTGACTTGTTGTTCAACTTTAATATCAGGAGCATTTGATTCTTGATTTTGATGGTCAACGGAAGCAGAAGCAAATGATGTGGATGTGGAAGCAACAGATAATGGATTAGTGATTTGTTGTTCAACTACAATATCCGGAGCATTTGATGCAGTTTCATCATTGTTGCTGGAGTCACTATCAACAACTTGATTCTCGACATTGGCGAATTCTTTGTTTTGAATAAAGTTGGAAATTTTTTGAAATTTACTTTCGATAAACTTCTTCTTCTCTTCTTTTCGTTTTCTTTTGGCACTACCACTAAGTACATTTGCTTTCTTCATATTTTTTTAGATTAATTTTGACGTCATAAAAATATATGTACCTATTATAACCAAAATTCAAATTAAAATTGATGCAGGAAATAGCATTAACAGCAGCTGACAATATTATGCTTACTGAAAAAAATTATAACCCAAAACAATTTCTTGCCAGGATTGCAGTTCCTCGAAATGTTTTGTCTTCCTCGGCGTTTGGACCCGGCGTATAGCGCCCGGCTCGACACTTGATATGCTCAAAGTGAACAAGAGAAGATTCTGCCGTTTTATATATATTTTTTTTTGCATTGGCCTATAATAATTTTCGTACATCTTTAAAAAATTATAAACTAGTACTATTTCTACTATTATTTTTAATTTGGAAAGGGCCCTTTATACCAAGGGCCCCCCTGCGGCCGCGGGCTCTGGCGGGTGGGTAGTTACGCCACTGCTTCAAGAGCTCAAACCTCTGACGCATATCAAATTTATATAAGTTCAGGAGTCATTATAGGTTATTTCACTGGCAAAAATAAGCTATTTTGCTGGATCTTTTCTAAATTTATTCAGTGGCACTAATTTAGATTTATAAACAGATGATTATGAGCTGCTCGCTTCGAGAATGCAACAAGTTAAAAAAAGTGATTTTGGAGAGAAAATAGACCAAAGGAAAACAACAGGTGAACATTTTTCAGAAAATAAATACATAAATTATTTGAGACAAAAACACAATCTGCGACAATCACCGATCATTAATTTTGGCTTGAAATAATTTTCAACCAGGTTATTATTGGCAACGTGATTAGGTATGACTTATTTATTATGTTACGTGTACAATTCAAATTATTCGTGGTGATTCCTTATTGTGTTTGCTTTTTTTATTTTTTTTTACACATACGAGTTTGGTCAAATTAGAACTGATTTTGTGGGACTCGCCAAATAGTCATACTCACTAAAACCCTCCGCATTCACCAAAGGGACTTAAGGCCGTTGGTTCTTCTTCTCTGAACGGATGATAGTTGTTCACGCAGGGCGGCGTGGCATGAGAAAAAAGAAAAGCACTTAGCAAAGTGATGGCCATTTTTGGCATCTTGCATCTGGATGGACCGTTGTCGTCGTAGTCCATGGTCTCTTTGACCAATGGATTCGGATGCCTTTCCGCTTTTAAAAGGGTGCGCTAAGCGCTTTTGTGAAGAAATTTATCCATGAGGAGTCAATTTTCCCTTCCGATGCAATTGGCTGTTTTAAAGAAACCACGGTGCGTCGAATGCCTTGTGGAGGAATTT